CGCCCGAGGCTCTCTCGCGGCGTTTTGTAATTACGCGCCGTCCGTCTTATCCGAAATCATCCCGTGCGTACGCGGCTTATCCAATTATCATCTGCTTTCCGCGCGCTGGCGTAAACACACACGCTTCGCGGGCTGCTATAATGTAGCAGTCCGTCGATCGCGTTCTGAAGTTCTGCCCGCCGGAGAAGGTGGGCCCCTTCGTCCCCGGCACCTTACGTTCGACGATAATTACCCGGCTCCCCAAGAGCCGCTAAGTATTTCGTAATTAGAGGCCTGCCGGCTTATCCGAAATCGCACTCTCGATTACAAGCTCGCGCGGCTTATCGATTATCATCTCTACCTCCTGCATAGCGCGCTCACTTTTACTTCCTGCTCCTCTGATTTTACTGTTTCCCCGCGCGGCTGTACCTTTTATTGCGACCACCGAGGTAGCGAGAAGCACGTCACGTCGATCAATCGCGGCTCCAGGATGATCCGGGGGTCGTTCGTTCACTTCGCAATAATGTCGGAGGCCCGGGAAGTTCGCATCCCAGCACCGTGAAACCGCGAGGCAACGATACCCGGCGCGAGTACTTCGCGATCGAGAGGATCGAGGGATTACGAAGTCGAACGAATCGGCGCGCAATTTATCGCGCGTCTCGCTTTCTCCTCTCGATAACGTAACAGTACCGCATGTCACGCGTCGCGCACATTGTTGCGCGTACGAGGTGGACTCGGCGGGCGTTAATAGCGGAGTCGCGGAACTCATCCGGAATACTACGATACCTTAGAGACCCTGTAATCAGAGACTGGCTATAAGAGTTCGTCAAATTCCCGCGGGTGAGAGAGAAACATATAGGCTATCTCACTTTTCTACGATGTTTCTCGCTCACGACGAACTCTTATGGCCAGTCTCTGATTACAGGGTCTCTACACTATCTAATATCCGAGCGCGCTCTGGACAAACACGACGCACAGCGCACAACCGACGTTGATCACCTCGGTAACACCTCAAGGTTGTGCTTCGGTAACAGCTACATTTCTACCGACAAACAGCCCGCGGTGCGGCGAGCCGCGGGGCGCCGCGGTGGAGAGGTAAGAAAGTACACATTCATAGAAAGAATTAACTCGTATAATGCCTTTGGAGCGCGATGGTGGATTTATCAAGGCGGCAATCTGAAGCGGTCGCTCGAGGCCGCGAGGGGCTTCGGGCTCCCGATCTCGTAATTTGTTGCCTGACGAGCGATTTAAATGAGCGCAGGATGGAGAACGAATCGGGCGGGATCTTATCAATGGGGCTTATTCTCCGGTCTCTCAAATATATGGAATATTTCGTGGACTCCGCGAGATATGCCGCGAGCGGATTCCACTTGGGGCGATTCCCGATCGGAAGGCACCTGTTTGCGCAATTCTCAGTGCGCGCCTCGTAATTGCGCGCGCGGCGCGACTTAACCGCAATCACATTCACAGTTACAACCGCGTGGCTTATCGGATTATCGTCTACTTTCTGCACCGCATAAATATACAACGGGCGTCGCTGGTACACGTCGCGCCGCGAACCTCGCGCTACGCCAAGCAAAGCGGCTCCGACTGCGCAAAATAAAACGATGTCCGGCGGAGCGAATGATTAATACGCGCTTAATTGTAATTAAAGTGCGCGGTCTAAGTGAATTAAACGAGACGTTTCGTAAAAACCAAGTTAGAGAAAGGACGCAATTGGCGCAGAAATTTTATCGGCGGTCTCCATCTCCGTGAATCCAGGCGGTTTTAGAATTGTGCGTGGTGCATTAATTTTCATTGCCGATGGAGAATACTGAAATCGAATATCGGCGAAGATTATGATATAAGGAACTGCAGCCACAAAGGAGATAAAAAAATTAAGCAAGATAAAATAAGACAATGAGATAAGTAGGCAATAGTAGGCATTCGTGTACATGATTTTGGTCAGCGGTTTACCCCTCAAAGTGGCGAGCGTGGCGCAGAGAAATGTGCGCTGCTTAGTAAATAAACGAACGAAAATACCCGAGTTCCAATCCAGCCGCGGATACCGCTGGTCTTACGGACGCCACTTCTTGGAGGAAAGTGGCAACCACCCAGAGTATCTCACCCAAGAAGACTACATACCAGGAGACCGAACTTCAGTGGTGAGGGTGGATTAAAATATGGTCGCATTTTATTGGCGCTGTTCGCGGTCATGGTCGTCGGCCAATTCATGAACTACGCGTGCCGGACTTCGAAGCGTCGTGCAACATAACCAAGAAGACTGGAGAACATAAGCTTGGCAATCTGTTAATGTAAATACTGCATTTAATTTTGGAGTCGTAAGTATTAGTCAATGCACACTTTAGACATGATTTCACTTTTTTGACACAACGGTTCACACCAAACAACGTAAACATTCGAACGTTGGCGCACGTGTAGTTCATGAATTGGCTGGCAACTATGACTGCGAACAGCGCCCATGAAATGCGACGACATTTTGGCCCTCACCACTGATTTGGGCAGAAGCTAGACGGTCTCCTGGTCTCTAATCGGTTGGAGGTTTCCTTTGGCTAAGGGGATGCTGGAGTAATTCTGCACTTTTGCACCTTTCTAACCTAAAAACTGTCAGTTCGCGGAAACATTTGTGTAATATACAAATTAAATGGCTTACGTGTACAGATTGAAAGCAGCTCGCTATTCCGGCCAAATGAAAGAACAATATGGCATCACTGAAACTAAGTTTGTAAGTCTAATAAGAAATAATAGTGAGCAACACATACATACAGTACATGTAGTATGTGTGTTGCTCACTATTATTTTTTATTAGACTTACGAACTTAGTTTCAGTGATGTCATATTGTTCTTTAATTTAGCCGGAATAGCAAGCTGCTTTCGATCCGTACACGTGAGCCATTTTACTCGTGCATTACACAAATGTTTCTACGAAACAGACAGTGTTAAATGCCAAAGGTGCGAAAGTGCAGAACTTAATATCTCAAGCCAAACGTACTTAAATTTTTTAATTAATGGGCAGTGTTCTCGGGCAAATGTCGAAATGTTTCTTCGTCGCGACTAAGAATAGCGCTTTCTGCCACTTATTATCAATAACAATAATCGAACCTCGACGCCGGCGAGCGAAAGAGGCGCAGGTCCGGTCTACCCGGTGCGCGCGGTATCTCGCAATTAGCCTGGAAGCTTATCGCGAGCGCAGCATCTCCGGGGTGTTTCTGAAGAACCGGAGTCCCAGCGTACCGCGGGTCCCCCGATCGCGATCGCGAACTTCAGGGCGATAATGTGGCGCATCGATCATCACGGTAGCGCCTCGAGGTCTACACACGCACGCACGCGCACGCATAGCACACGCACCCGGGCACAGCCGATGGTGCACAGCTCTCGACTAACCCCGTGCGCACGAATATCTCATAATTCCGAACGCGGTCACGCATCCCGGCCGCAGCTGCGGCTCGCCGGCCGAACTTTATTAGCATACCTATAAAAATGCGCGCGTCCGCGCGTAAACAGGCGCGATAAATTACGTCCGAAACTCCCTTAAATATCTCGTAAAACGTCAGTCAATGAAATCCATTAGTTCGGGTACGCTGACGTAGTCGGTTGCTGCCGCGCGCTACCGACAACGTCCCGACGTCCGCGGGACGTTCTTGCTCGTGTCCATCGACGTATAAAATGGACTAAAGACCCTGTAATCAGAGACGGGCCATGAGTGACCTATGTTTCTCTCTCACTCGCAGGAATTTGACGAACTCTTGTGGCCAGTCTCTGATTACAGGGTGATGTATGATTAGCAGAAGGTGCCAAACCCCTTAAGGGGATGCTGGAGTAATTCTGCACTTTTGGCCCCTTCTGCTCCTAGAACTTTCAATTTGCGAAAACATTTGTGTAATATACAAATTATGTGGCTTTTGTGTACGTACCGACAGTGTTCCGCTACTCGAACTAAATCAGAGAACAGCATGGTATCATTGAAGTTAAGTTTAGAAGCCTAACAAAAAATCTATTCACTCGAATAAATTATGGGTTACCTAACCTATAACTTATTCGAGTGAATAGATTTTTTGTTAGGCTTCTGAACTTAATTTCAACGATACCATGCTGCTCTTCGATTTAGTCCGAATAGTGGAACACTGTCGGTCTGTACACAAAAGCCACATAATTTCCTTAGGTAGCCTATAACTTATTCGAGTGAATAGATTTTTGTTAGGCTTCTAAACTTAATTTCAGCGATACCATGCTGCTCTCTGATTTAGTCCGAATAGTGGAACACTGTCGGTTCGTGCACAAAAGCCACATAATTTGTATATTACACAAATGTTTTCACAAATTGATAGTTCTAGGAGCGAAAGGTGCCAAGAGTGCAGAATCACTCCAGCGTCCCCTTAAAGGCGCTCATTTCGGCGTCGCGGTTTTCAAATACGGCCGATTAACGAGCGCGCGAATATGGAGTCGCGTTGCGATATCGAAAGATAATTGTCGATGGACGGCGAAGTTGAAAGAGCGAGACCCGGGGGACCTCTCCGAGCTCTGTCTGCGTTAAAAATGCGATCTCCCTTGTCCGCAGCCTCCCTGAGACCGGTCCCATTAATTTGCCAAAACAAAAAATTACTCGAATACATGTTTATTTGTAGGTAAATTGCCGCGTGTATATCGAGATAATCGATAAGCCTTCGCACAGATAAAATTATAAATGATACAGATAAGATCTATTTAGCGAAATTAAAGGGACGGGAATTTTTGCGAAGTGGACAAATTACACCGCGTGTTCTCGACGTTCTCGTGGAACTTGCCACGAATTCCAGAGTCCCCGCGAAGCGTAAAGTGCTCAACTTACCGATCTATTCGAAATACTTTAGGAAAGCGATGGAAACGAGAAGATATATTCTTTTTCAAAGACTCTTCGTCCTACAGCGACTCGCTCGAAATCGCGCCACGTTTCTCGGAGCGGCTCGCATCGAGTTCTCCGAACGAATCGAAACCTTGCCGCGATACTCTCGCATCTCGCCCGATCGACACGCGTCACTTACCGGCCGGTCTTCGTGATGATCATCTCCGTGCCGAGGTCGTTGAACTTGTCCCAGAGATCCTTGGTCTCGAGCTGGCACTCGACGTCACGCAGCTCCTCGCAGTTGCAGCTGGTCCTCAGACGCGGCTGCTTCTCGTCCGTGGAGGCGCCGTCCACGCTCGATTTCCGCGCGGGCGTGCCACCCCCGGCGAGATCGTCGGACGACGCCCCGTCGACCGCTACGTCATCGCCGCTGCTGCACTCCTCCACGTCGACGTCCACCTCCTCGTCTTCCTCGTTCGCGGACTTCTCGGTGCTCTCGCTCCCGCCCTCGCAATTCTCAGCCTCCTCGTCGCCCAAGAGCGCCTCCTGCGTCACCACTGTCGCCGTCGCCGTGACGATGTTCATCGGCGATCCGATTATACCAGAGTGGAAAGGTCCTGTGAACACACACCGATGCGCAGCTTGTAATAAGACACACCGTTTACGAGAGACTGTTAACATTAATTCAATAATTATTCGTCCTTGAATTGTAGCTCGCGTATACAACTTTAATTTCAGAAATAACCGAAACATCTTATACGGTCATGCTGGTACTCTTAGACCCGGCTTTTCATTTTCTGGTTAACTGTTACCCAGATGCTAGTCGCTCTCCATCTTTTTGTATACTATTATCTAAGAAGAGACAGGTAGTCTCGGAAAACCCGGGCCCATAGCCTATGTTTCTCTCTCACTCGCAGGAATTTGACCAAGAAATTTGACTCTTATAACCAGTCTCCGATTACAGGGTCTTCACTTTGTGCTATTTCGTTCTCTCTCGTTCGCATGTGAACAAGAGAGAACGAAATAGCACAAAACAGAGTTTGTCCTTTCCTACGCAAAACCCCTACCCCCCCCCCTGCTCAAATATAGGCAAACGCTCGGTCTAGGTGCCTATGCCCGGGCCTGCTCGCCGATACTTCTCTGTCTGAAACTGACGTCAAAATACAAAATACAAAATAATGAATGCTAAATAAGCATTCTTTGGAAGCAAAGTGGGAAAAAGTTACTGTGAAAAATGTTTCTATGGATTCGAACCTGGACCTGGATCTCCCTACTACCCGAGACGGATGTCGTCATCAATTCGACCACCGAAGCGTGTGAATATTGGCAATAAGCCGTCTGTCTGTGATTAGAAACTATCGTCCAGATTGCAACGAAATGATGGCGACGTCGATTAGAACTTATTGAGATCGAGATTTAATGCGGCGTCAACGACCGTCGCGTATAAGACGCGGAAAGGGAATCCCCGAAGCGGGCTTGCGATTATCGCGAACCGCGTCGATTTAAATGAGCGAGATGAGCCCGGACGATATCGGGGGGCCCGCCGCCTGTTTAATTAATCGACCGGGCCCCGCATCTGCCACAAGGTGGTGGCCGGCGCCTAATTAAACCGTCAGATTTTCAAGAAAGCCGATCCGCCGCCGTGCCGGTGTGTACACAATGTTAATTGCGCCGGGCCCGCGATATCGATCTGTTAATTTGTACTATTCCGCGCGAACAATGCGTCTTCCGGCGCGCGTTTATCTCAAATTGGATCCGCCGGCCGCGTTGTTCGCGAGTGCGTTCACGCACGTGCGGCGGTACACGGGGAAATTTATCGACGCGGTTGTCGTCGACGAGAAACGGGCCGCGCCGGCCGGCGGCACGGCTCGTCTCTTCCGCGCAAACTGCCTGTCCACACGGAAAAGACTGTTACCGGCCCGTATTCTTATTATTTCCATTTAGCGCCGCGTCTACCGGCGCAGATACGGCTGTCCGATACGGCAAATTTATTAGCTTAATGTGAAAATCGCGTATCGTTGGAGGGTTGAGGACTTGGTTGAGGAGGATCCGACAGCCGTGTTTAGTACCGAGCCCCGAGCCTTAGCATCAAGATAGCATTCAATGTTAACGCGGAGTAAGACGCAATAAATATTTCTAAAATATTTTTAAGAAGGGGGAGGAAGGATAATTATCCGCGATACGGGTATACCCGTCATATTTACATCGTTCATGAAGATGGTTCCCCGATAAAAACGGGGAATATCCTTCGTTTCCGGGGAGAACGGGCTAACGACTTAATGAGTCACCGGGCGCGTTTCTTTCCCGCTTCGCTGAGACGGGAAACGCAGAGGCGGGTTTTTCGGCTTCTCGATGAAATAATCGAACGGTAGAAACTGCCTCGCGTAAGCCGGCCGAGCCAGTGGCCGGGTCAGAAAACGCGGCGATGATCGACCCGTCAGACACTAATTCGACGCGTCGCTTCCCGTTTTCATTTCGGCTTCTGGTCACACACCGCGCCGGCTCCGACGCGTCTCCCCTCGTCGCGCTCAAACCGGTTTTGCTAAATTTTCGACGATAATGGCGGCGACGACGACGCCGCGTTTGACGGCGATTACCTCCGCGTTTTGCGCGCAAACCGAGCAATTTGCGTTCCGTTTAGGCGAAACGAGTTGTCCTCTTACGGGGCTTTTTATCGCCGACTGCCGGATTTCTTAATCGCCTCAGAACGATCTTTCCTCGCTGCTTGAAATTCGTAGAAAGTCATGCATTCGACAGGGAACTTTATCAACTTAATTCCGAGATACGAGAACCGTGTGGATTTTCAGGATACCTCTTGGCGGTTTGAACGAGGAGAAATACGGCGCTTTTAAATAGAAAAATTAAGTCGTGCAAAAACTCACTGTTAAAGGAGCTTATAATATTTCAAGCTATTGGAGTCGCCGTTAACAATTAATCTTTTTATTATTTAAACGTATCTTTAAAGAAACAGATAGATTGAACTAATCAATCTGATATCTCGTCCAATACACATCTCTCGACACTTTTACTCGTGTTTAACAATTTCAATTGACTTTGCACTCTTCAACCAAAGAGTGCAATCAATTTTTGACTAATATATCTTACTAACGTTACTAACATAACGATATTGGCTAAACGAACGATATGAGATCATTAACAATAAAATTGTGCGAACAGATTACTTGAAAAGGATCCAAATCTGGGACCGAAACGTCGTTCTTTTTATTTTTTAAATAAAAGCACTGGCCAGTGTAGGTCGCTTCAAAACACTACATATCATTGGGTTTAAAAAAACAGATGTAAGGGGAAAGTAAATCGACTTGGCCTCGGTTTCACCGTCGCTTAACTTTAACCTTAGTTTAATTCATGTTTGCCTCCTTCTAAAGTAACAGTGGGAAAGAGACCAAGAACGAATGAAGCTAAGCTTAAAGTTAAGCAACGCTGACGAAACCGGTGTTAATAAATGGTATATTACAAGGAGAACTTGTAAAAATGTATTGTTATAAACTGACTTTATAGTGAGTCGCTGCGCGTTTTTCTAGGAAGAACCGATTAACGAACAATTAAACGGAATGCCAAGTTCACGCACGTGGAATGTCCGCGGAATGCGCGTGAGTGCGACGCGCGAAATTTCACGAAATTCGAGCGGGAGAGCGAACGCTAGGAGAGAGAGAGGAGAGGCGAAGCGCGCCTTGAACGCGCCCCGTAGTTACGCGCATCGCGTGCTGCTCGCGCGTTGCGTGCGCGCACATCTGCGTGCACGCACGCACGCACGCACGCACGCACTCTCGCGTCCACGCACACACGCGGCCGGCTAATAATAATGCGCTGCGGAGGCCACGTCCGTAGTTCGCGTCGCGGCACGCGTGTCACGTCGCTCGCGAGTTGTAAAAGAGGAGGCGCGCGAACGAGCGAGTGCGCGCAAGTACGCACGTACGCGCGCGCGCGCGTTCACGCCGCTCCCTTTTTATTTTTTTCTCGCGGGGTTTCGAAATCGCACGGTGTATCCCCATTGAGCCATCGCCGCGTCGAGGCCAAGGACTGCCCGGTTCTGGGCAAGAAGCTTTCGCGCGAGAACAGCCGGTGGACGCGCGCGCTCGATAGGGGGAAAAAAAGAGCCCGGTGTGTTAAAATTAACACCTCGACACGCGCGTCTCTCGCGTGAGTCGCGAATGCGTCGTCGCCGGCCTTCCGCGGCGTCACGCACGGTAAAATTGCCGGGACGTGTGCATCTTGCCCCGACGTCGCTCGTTAATTTGCGAACAATCGGCTTTCCGGCTGAAAATCTAGCCTATCTCGGCGACGACACGTTCGCCAGCTCCGTTTTTCCAAGAAAGAGATGCACAGGCGGATAAACGGATGGGGAAATGAAAAAAAGAAACTACCGCGCGAAACGGCAGCGGCACAAAATGATAAAGAAATTTCGCGTAAAAACGCAGCGTGCGATACCTGGAAGAATTTCTCCAGAAATATCATAAAAATTGTATAAACACGACAATGGCCGACATTTTTCTCTTCCCTTGCGCATTGATGCAATATGGTCGCCTTTAAATGTAAATATCTTGCAAATAAGCTTCCAGTTATTGAAATTGCAAAAGAACATCGGTTTTATTCAATTTAGTAAAAAAGAAAGACGCACTAAATAGCCCCCTTTTTCCCCCAATTTTCCCAATCGTTTGAGCTCACGCGAGATTCTCTCGCCATTAGAATATAAAAACAACTAAACGTTCACCCTTGCCCATCGTGATTTTGCGAAACTGTGCACAATTCGTGGTGATTCGCGCTTTTTGATTTTTCAAGAAGATCGCCTCGTCGGCGAATTGGCATGAATTTTAATATGCGAGCTCGACAAATACATATAGTTCTAATCGCACTGTTCGTAAATTTTGGGAACGACTCGAACTCCTTCGAATGACTCGCCCGTAGGCCTTGCGTCAGTTTTGCTACAAATGACCTACTTTACTTTGAAGTTTACCTCACTTTCTGCCTTTCTTTCGACTACCTTTCTTTCGACTGCCTTTCCTCCCTTTCCCCGACATCCATTTCCCCAACAATGATAAAATGCGTGACAAATAACTTGTACACAATTCCGGAACTGCACGAGCGCGCAGCGTGTTGCGTGAAAAATGGACACGGGTCAGTCTCCGATGGCATTCTCAGGCCCTGTTTTCCCAACCTCACCGAACATTAATTTCAGCTTAACTCGCACCCTATCCCTTTCTCCGAAAGGGATAGGCACTGGAAAGAGACAAAAGCTGGGTCAAGGTTAAATGGCGTTGGAGAAACCAGACCTTCAAGAATCTCGCAATAGGCACACGACCGCATCAGGCGACACCATGGGGCAGAAATGAATGCCGGATCGGAAGCTTTTCAGGCAAATATAGAGAAGTTGCACGGAATGAGAATAAACGAAAGAGAGAGGGAGAAAGGGAGAATACGAGGGAGCGCGATGGCGCAATGTTTGCGTGCGCGCACACGCGGGCGAGAAGGTGGTCCCACGTTCCACGTGATCTTTTAAGACCAGAAGAAATATGACCGAGCTACTGACATAAGCTTCCTTTTGCCCAGTCCGACGGCCGACCACCCAGAATCCCTGTCACCACCCGGGCCCGGACTC